CGGTAAACGAGAGCAAACTTTACCCATGGGTCAGCCTCGGAGGGAAGATATATTGCCCATGGGTCAGTGGAGAGAAAGGACGGGCAAAATCCATATTGGTCCGTCTGCCTTGCCCCCTTTATATAGTGATAAAATATTCAAATCCAGCCATTACTTCACATTAGCTCTGCTCTGCAGAGATGCCAGGGAGAAAACCACAGGACGTATACACGCCGCTTCACACACAGATTTGGTGCATTGATAGTTACATTAAAAATCTCTTCCTCCCATTAGACGCACACGCCCTTCATCCCCTCGACGGTTAAGGTGTGTTCACTTCGGACACGTATATTTTTCATGGAGGTTGATCTAGGTTTAGGGACCGGATTAAAAAAAAAAAAAGCAGCAGATAAAGAGTTCAGAAATTCTTACTTACTTACTAACATTCTCCCTAACCTTAAAGGAACGTTAACCTGAACTAGAGGCTAAAAAAAAAAAAAAAAAATGAGATTCAGCCTCGATCTGTTTCCCTTGAAGAAACTGTTTATTGTCATAGATCCGTAGATCAAACGCTACATGTGAGAAACGTCGTCTTAAAAGACGGAGTACGGCCGGGTCACCGTGTCTGGGTGTTTCCTTCTTGTGTTAGTCAGAGCTGACTGCCTGTGTGCACACGTGGACGTGAGATGAATATCTCCTCACTCCATCAAGTCAAGTATCCTTTGTAAAAGAAGAAAAAAAAAAAAAAAAAAAACCTGGTTTATTTTTTCTGAGTTCAGAGAAAACAACATGCCTCCAGCGCTGACTCTGTCTTTGCCGTTATCGTTATCTGCGATGACGTGGCCGCAGGTGCAGCTCAGTGTCCACCCAATGTATGTCAAGGTCTGCCAACAATCAAATAATATTTTTGTTATTTTGGAAACTGAAAAACACGGCGTCGACGCGGCTGCCGTCTCCTCTGGACACAGTTCCATTCTGTGCTGAGATGTTATTAATGGTGTTCAGGCAAATTTTCATTAATTACAATTCAAACTGGAAAGACGTTTGTTCTGCCAGGACAAATCGTCAGGCTCCATTACCAGAGCGGGGGGAAAAGAGTTTCCAAAAAGGACTCTTTTTGCTGTTTTTGCAAAAAAAAAAAAAAACCAAGGTCCATTTTCCTCTGGGGAACATTTTAACGTGCGATGCAAATGAACAAGTGTTTGATTTTTTTTTTCTTCTTTCTTTTCATCCTTATGTTGCCTCTCAGGACACAGAGTGAAGATGGAAGACCCCGGAAAGATGCAGTTCTCCGACAGGCTGTCGGAGATCGAGCGCTACCAGCGGACTATGCGGATAGGCCCGGTGAACAACAACCCTCGGCCAATCCAAACACACCTCAGCACCACACAGGGTGAGTGAGTGACACCGACAACCACAAATATCTGGCATCCCCACATTCTCCACATCGCTCTTCCTTTTTAATCAGCCGCGCGTCTCATTACATAAAACCAAAACCGTCCGATCGGTCGCTGAGTTTCGAGGCCGCGGACGAGACGTTCGCGCCGAACCGAGTGAATCCACGTGGCCTTCAGGGTCCACTCCGTGATGGGAAAAGTCAGGCCTGACCCCAGACGACCCCCTGTTGGTGGGTCGGGGCCCCACAGTGTGCAGGGTCCAGTCTGTGGCCAGGTGGCGTGGAGGACGTTGCCAACCGGGCTTGGCCTCCACACACACACACACACACACACACTGCAGCCTCAGGAATGTAGCACGCAGCCGCCACCTTGGCAGTCACGTCACTCTCACACTGGACGAATGTGCGGAGGCGTGGAGGGTGA